ACAGACAGCACAGCACAGTATTGCCAATTTGCTGTCGTTGCCATTTTTTATTGCGGCTTTTATGGCTCATTGGCTCATAAATAAAGTCAAGCGGGTTAAAAAAGCCCAGAGTGGAACATTAATTAAGCAAATTCCATAAAATTGCGCACTCATTCCACTATCGCAGCCATTCTTTTAAGCATCCTTAAATAGGCCAGTCATTGAAAGGGATAACGAAAATAGCCAAGCTGAAAATTAAACCTTCACTTAATTTAAGATGCTATGGCAATTAAAAAGGATTTTTGCAACACTTGAACACTTTTTGCTTGGAGGCAAAGAGGCAACTAGAATGGCAAAAAACTTTGACGGCAAGAAGTGTGATCATGACGCTCTCCTCCTTCACTGAGCCCACGCAGAGTCTGCGGTTGCCTTTGGGCGCTTAATAAGCGGCATCAGCTGTCGCGCCTGATTTTGGCTCCAACTCGTCAGCTTAACTGGTTTGTTATTTTTGCTGCATAAGCAGAAGGATAAGCAAACCGCCATTGAACGGCGCGAAGCCACAGCCGCGGACGACTTCAAAAATTGTGATTTGACATTGTGGTAATTAAGCGATGTTATTACATTAAAATTAATATGGGGGCGGTGGTTTCAAAATGTGCGTGTACACTTTTGCCTCCACTTAAAAGTAAAATCATAAAAGTTTCTGGCAATAAAGGCATATATCTTCGGTCGTGCAACAATTGGCAGGATTCTTAAAGTAAAGCTGACCGCATTGCCAAAATGTTACAAGGCCAAGTAGCCACCAAGCGACTTAAAAACTCAAAAACAACAGCGTCAACAAGGGACTGAACTGAGAAGCAGTGAAATGTGAATCGTTATTTCTTCGAATACGCACATTTCCGCTGTAAAGTTATGCGAAAAGTTTTTGTGCGTTAATGCGTTAATTATACAAACTAAGTAAATAAAGGCGACAAGCCAAATTGTTGGTTTCAACCTAAACAGAGTACACTCTTCAAATTGTTTGTTTAAATTTGCGCACATTAAGATAGGTAACCAGTTTCCACTCTTAATGAATGCAAATTTACACACCATGTTAATTAAATTAAACACTGCTTGTTTAATTTTACTTATCATATGTGTGGCGTAGAACAGATTTCAAATTTGTTTGTTGAATTCTAAACAGTTAATGTTCACAATTTCACAGTTTACACATAAAGTGTTTAAAATTTGTTCTAAAAAATTTTTGTTTAAATTTACGCATATAAAGAGAGGTAGCCAATTTCCTCCCCGGGTGTGCAAAATTAAACACTGTGTTTTTACTTTTACATACCAAATTTGTCGCGTAGAGCAAATACAAACACATAATATGTTTAAATTTGAGCAAATGTGAGCACTTAATATTTACTATTAGTAGAAAATGTATTTTTACTTTCAAAACTTTTTCTATTTTAAACTTTTCATGTGTGTATCTATGTGTAGATTTTAAACATCTCATGTTCAAAATCAAATCTTGAGCATCTTGTGTATATATTTACACTAGCGTTGCCCAATTTTCTGGGATCTAGCTCTCATTGGCAAAGGTAATGCCAGATACATTCTCATTATCCATATACTTATACGCTAACATAAATCCGCCTTCGTTTGGCGATTTTACCAAACCAAGAATCCCATTAGAAGAAAGAAATGATAACGATTAAGACAAAAAAGTGAAGGCGAAATTGAAGATACAGACGAAAATAAAAACAATGAGAAAACAAAAGAACTGGGAATCGAAAGCAATTCAATCGTAAAGAATTTAGTTGTCGAAAGTTATGAAGTAAGCGAAATTTTTCGAATCATCGAAGTCTATAGTTATCGAAATTCATCCAAGTTACCAATTTTTGTTGAGTTATCGCAACGTATCCAACTATTTAAATTGATCAATGTTTATTGCATTGTAGAAATTTATACACAAAGAAAACTAGTTGTCGAAAATTGCGGATAGTTATGGGGTCATAAAAATTTATGGGAATTTGTCGATTTTGATTGAACTACTTTTAATTAAAATTATCAAAAAAATTATCGAAAAATTCTCGTTAGTTAGAATAATTGACAAACGAACGAAAACGAGTTAGAAAACCTCTTCAAGGCTTTTAACAACTAGAAAAACGGTCGAAATTCGACAGTAGCTGTAAGTGCATAAGTTGACCTGATGATAGTAGATTGAATTGTATAAGTTTCCCATCCAACTTCTTTAAATCAAGAACCATTACATCTACCCTGGGTCAGGAGACAGGAGGTCACATTCTTAGCTACAAAAGGAGGCCGCAAGATGGACTAAATACTCTGCCATCTAAGTTTATAGGGCTTCGATGCTTAGGGCTATGCGGACGATGTTGTCAACCTAATCAGAGGGAGGTTTGAAGACACAACGCCAACCTTCTACAGAATACGCTGAACATAGTCGCCAAATGGTGGAGAAAGACGCGTTTAGCGCAAACTCAAAGATGACTAGTAATTTTCTCCGGGAAAATAAAAGAGGGACAAGTTTCTGGAGCCAATCGTTCAAGGATAAAAGATACACTTCTCTAAAAAGGTGAAGTATGTGGGATTTATTCTTGATGATCAGCTCTCATGGAATTCGCACATAGGCAATGGAATTGCCAAGGGCAGGGTATTTATCTAGACCTGCCGTAAACTTATGGGACGAAATTTTGGCATAAAACCTAAACTGGCAAAGTGGATGTATGATGCTATCTCCAAACCCATTCAAACTTATACTGCACCGGTCTGGTGGAATAAGGCTCAACAAATTAAACCACTAGACTGCGTGAGCATCACCAGCGTGACGAGAACAACACCGACAGCAGCTTTCGAGGTGCCTTTTGACCTGCCTCCTCTACACACTTTATTCAAGAAGTAGGCTCTTCCTTTTACAGCTAGGCTCATCTCAGACGACAATGAGGAAAATAAGAGACTCATACACAATTCTACTCTCAGGGCATTAGAACAAGAGGAACGGCTGCACATAAGCTTTGCGGAGCTGTACTTTTCGACGTTTAGCTTCAATCGCGATTACATCGTATATTTCCCAAACAGAATAAACTGGGACAACGAGCGACCTAAACCCCGGAAAGATAGCCACCTTTAAAATACTTATGGTTCTACGACTGAGCAGGAGTCTGCGGCGTACACCAGCAAGGTAAGTGGGATAACCAACAAATACATCTAGATCTATTTTTCTGTAACAGGTTTCTACGTAAGCTTCCTGTATAATATAAGTTCCAGACACTTAACATTCTTCTTCAAAGGAATCTTCACACACTTAAAAATTAGCTTGACGACTGTGGAAAGCCTGCGTTTCTTTATAAAGTAAATTGCAAACAAAGCATACTCATTACCTGATAAGCTCTTTTGCATCAACCAACCCGAAGAGTGAGTGCAACGGAGAGATAATATAACCCGTGTAATCTGCAGCTCTGTCGGGTGAATGCCCTCAAGTCCTGCTCAGTAGTAAGGACCAAAACCTTTAAAAACCCATTCGATTTTTGCTCGATCATTTGGGAAGTCTCTATGTTCCACCCTCTTGTTGCCTGGGAAGTGTGTGTCTTGGAGAAGGACCTAATGACTCCTCACTCGTCGTCCATGTGTTCCTTCGAACCTTAAAATAACCCAATTTTCATGGCGACTTTGCGAGAATTTTTCGCAATCTGGACGCTTCGGTATTAGCCTTAATTCCCTTGCAATCATTTTGCCACGATTCACGTTTCGCGGTTTTAACTGCTGTTTTTGTATATTTTTAAATCTTCGGTCGTTCTAGTGGCATTGGCATTATTAAACAGTGCCCTGTTAGATTCAACTCAACAGGATATTTTTTTGTCCACTAAGGTGGTTTGCTTTTTCCTCTGTGTGGAAAAACCAGATATCTTATTGGACCTGATTCACCAATCCGTCCATTTCCACCTTTGTGGCGGGATCACGGGGGAGTATCTTTGGCAATAAAGTCCTTCGTTTTTTGTTGTAAGCCCCCCCCCCCAGTCTGTATTCTGAATTCGCTTACTTTGGGGGTTCTAAGATCTATTTCGTATTCAATATATCGATGGTCGAGACTATTCATCTCTTAACGTGATTGGAAAACTGGTCAGAAGTCTGGGGTTATATCCAAACCTTCTTCCCTGTGTTTATTAAAGGAATGGTGTGTTGGTTGTTATTATTTTAAAGTTTGTTCCCGATATGATATGACGGATTTAACGGCACACTATTGTAACTCAATTTTTCGGATTCTTGTGGAAGCTCTAATAAAAATTACTTGAGAGGAAAGCGAGAAGAGCAGCAACCCACATAGCAGTGGATGTTCGGTTTCATTGCAGTGTAACCATTTTATGAGTAATTTCTTTAGTGGATTTTAGGACTTTTTACAGTTTGAGTAAAGTTCCAATTTAGTTAATATTTTACTAGTACACGTACATAGCGATTACAATTTTATATTGCTTAAATATAACCAGCATTCAAATTGGTATTGCACTTTATGGCAAATTTTCATACATTTCTTTTCTACCCCAATACCCAAGCGCACTACGGCTCATTTCAATTCTAATCCAGTTCTTTATTCCTCATAGTTAATATAATGCTGTCTTGCCAGCGGAAACGGATGTGCTTGGCAACGGCTTGAATGAATGGTATGGAAAATCTTAAAGGCTCGAAAGTCGGCCCAAAAGAACAACGCAGAAGTGGAGGAATGTGAAAATAAATAGTTAAAAGTTGTGCGAATATTTGTAGTACAACGAAAATTTTGGAGCAAGCAAAAACAATGTTGTATTTTCCAAATAGATGGTAGCAAGGCAACGTGGTTGTTAAGAGAATGTCAGCAAAAGGGCGTTAAATCGATACTGAGTAACGCCGACAGCAAAGTTTATATGCGCTTTGGTACTCAAACTTATAGCAAGAGCTAGATATACTTTAAAGATGGTAAGTAAAACTCTAAACTGGTATAACTCTAAAATTATAATTAAAATAATGAAAATATCGCCCCTCCATTTAAGCCGCCGAAAAAAAAGCTCTCAAAGAAGGAGAAGGCACGGTTAGAGGCCGAGCAGGCCGAGCTGCTGCGCATTGAAATGGAGAAGGAAAGGTAAATCAACCCACTAAATACGAACTCATGCAGTAAAATTTAGTACTTTTACATAGACAACGAAAACTCGAAGAGGAGCGCCAGCGTCGCCAAATTGAATTTGAACAAGCCAAGCGTCGGCAGAAGGAAGAAATTCAAGAGAATAAAAAACGCCGCGCACAACTACGCAACAGCATGGCCTTCTTCATGGAGGTGCGCGAAGTGACGAACGGCATTAAGGCACTCGAGCAGGAGGAACGTGAATGGGAGAGATTTATGCGTTGCAATGGACTGCCCAACGCCAATAGTCCGAGCGACTTGCGACGCTACATTCATCAATGGCGCAGCGATATGGAGCGACGTGAGCGTGCATCACGCAATTGGCTGCTGAACACCAACGAACGTACGCTACTCACGCAAGACCTCGATGCGCCAGATTTATCGCGTAAGAGTTTGCGTTTGCGGCAAGGCAATGCGGGCGATGTGTATGCGCAGCGAATACGCGAAGTTTTGGGGGTAAGTTGAGGGTGTAAATTGGTAAAAAAATGCCAGAGACGAAGGAAGAGTGAAAGTTAAAGTATAAAAGAGAGAGAAGAGCAAATAATAAAATGAACTTGCTGCATCTTAAAGCTTAAACAGACGGCAGCGTTGATCCGGATTAACTCGGACTTAATCCGGATCAACTGCAGTTAATTCCCGAGTTGATCCGGATCAACACTGCCGTCTGTTTATGCTTTTAGATACTTAACGAACTAGATGAGGCCATAGTTGATAAAAAGAAGCCACTACATATCATTGCCGATCTCATTTGCCTCAAGATGGAGATTCGTGTGCTTTTGAGTGAGCATTTAGATGAGTTTACCTATAAAACGATGTCACACATCGATCGCGATATGGAGTGAGTACAACTTTTTTTTGAATTTTTTTAGAAATAATAAATCTAAAATCATTTCTTAGAATCGATCGTCCAGGCGTTTTCAAACACATTTATGAATCAGGCGTTTTCAAGAGTCACTTTTGGACCTACTCAAAGGATGCACAAATGTAAGTGACTTTTCAGCTCTCTTTTAATTCTAAAATTACCTATAAATTAGAGCTTACTAAAAGTGCTTACTTGAGTATAAATTCTTTTACTTGCCAGTTCCGACACGTTACCCCTCAAGGGCTTGTGATGGGGGCTCTGACAGGATATTGTGCGATTGGTATTCACGCGATAAGACTAGGAATTTCAACTGATCCCGTTTGTATCAGCTGTCAAGGGAAAGATGAGATGAAATCATCATTCTTTTAGACTCTCCAACCTCCGCGAGGCTAAGATGCAAGCATTTTGGCTCGCTCTTCTAAACTAGCACTGAGCTCTCAGGGATTGCCGACAAAATTATGGGGATCCGCTCAGTTTTTTTTTCATGGTATCACATAGGACAATCTCTTAATTGTCCAAGTGTGTTCCTTGTAAGGGGCAACCACTTTAACCTAACCCAACCTAACTAGCACTTCTTTGAGCTATGAAATAGTTGGTCACATTAGGTATACAGGGCGGTAGTTAACGCTATGCTCACCTATAATACGTCTAACAGGCTACGAACAATAAACAAGGGCCAAGCTGCGGTTTTTTACAGACTAGGAATGAGAAGGCTTCAAAATAAACATTTGAAAATGATCTTGATATCTTCTTTCAGAAACTAGTTTTGATAGTGGCTNCTGCATCTTAAAGCTTAAACAGACGGCAGCGTTGATCCGGATTAACTCGGACTTAATCCGGATCAACTGCAGTTAATTCCCGAGTTGATCCGGATCAACACTGCCGTCTGTTTATGCTTTTAGATACTTAACGAACTAGATGAGGCCATAGTTGATAAAAAGAAGCCACTACATATCATTGCCGATCTCATTTGCCTCAAGATGGAGATTCGTGTGCTTTTGAGTGAGCATTTAGATGAGTTTACCTATAAAACGATGTCACACATCGATCGCGATATGGAGTGAGTACTACTTTTTTTTGAATTTTTTTAGAAATAATAAATCTAAAATCATTTCTTAGAATCGATCGTCCAGGCGTTTTCAAACACATTTATGAATCAGGCGTTTTCAAGAGTCACTTTTGGACCTACTCAAAGGATGCACAAATGTAAGTGACTTTTCAGCTCTCTTTTAATTCTAAAATTACCTATAAATTAGAGCTTACTAAAAGTGCTTACTTGAGTATAAATTCTTTTACTTGCCAGTTCCGACACGTTACCCCTCAAGGGCTTGTGATGGGGGCTCTGACAGGATATTGTGCGATTGGTATTCACGCGATAAGACTAGGAATTTCAACTGATCCCTTTTGTATCAGCTGTCAAGGGAAAGATGAGATGAAATCATCATTCTTTTAGACTCTCCAACCTCCGCGAGGCTAAGATGCAAGCATTTTGGCTCGCTCTTCTAAACTAGCACTGAGCTCTCAGGGATTGCCGACAAAATTATGGGGATCCGCTCAGTTTTTTTTTCATGGTATCACATAGGACAATCTCTTAATTGTCCAAGTGTGTTCCTTGTAAGGGGCAACCACTTTAACCTAACCCAACCTAACTAGCACTTCTTTGAGCTATGAAATAGTTGGTCACATTAGGTATACAGGGCGGTAGTTAACGCTATGCTCACCTATAATACGTCTAACAGGCTACGAACAATAAACAAGGGCCAAGCTGCGGTTTTTTACAGACTAGGAATGAGAAGGCTTCAAAATAAACATTTGAAAATGATCTTGATATCTTCTTTCAGAAACTAGTTTTGATAGTGGCTTCTAGATTTCCAAATTATTTCAGCCTGTTATATTTCCCATTAACAGTGGCAAAACTATTGAATATTATAAAACTTAAACTGATTGCAATTCGGTAACGACTAACTCAATATGCATCCAGGAATGCTGACGCTATGACCAGAGAAGCTAGTAGCAATAATTAGACGAATAGGTACTCTGGGCATTGCAGGATCGAGTTTGCGAAAGCTCTCAAAGCCGAAAATTCAGCTTCACACTGGTTGCCATCTGCCAGGTTCCGAGCCAAACAACTAGTGCTAATTGCAGGCGGAAACCACGCAAATTTTACGTTGGGAAAGCTCCATTAAAGTTTTTACTAGGATTGGTCAGGAAATGAAGATGGTTTGAAGTCAAGTAGGGGCAAATCTGGGTAAATCGTCCACTAGGCGTCAATATGGTCTTTCACGGCCTCCTTGGACTAACGCTGCCCATGTAGCCTATCCTAACCTATGCGAGTGGAAAAGCATATGGTGATTTTTTACTTTTGCGTAACAAAGTTCCTGTTAGTAAGTAGGATTTATGTTCTGTGTTTCAGCGATGTAAAATTTTTTAATACATCTCGCCTAATAAAGCAATTTTAAGAGAATACCTATGGCCAGAGCTGGTAGTCGAAGAGTCTATGCGTTACGCTAATCTGGCCGATGGGCTTCAGTAGAACTATTGTCAAAGAATTCGTTGAAAGAGGTAGTTTAACCTGAATAGTTCATTTTTAAAAGAGGTTATTGTACCTGTGAATTAAAAACAAGGGTGAAGTGCCAGATCTCTCCGCACTGGCAAAACTGGCAACATTTTCAAGAGTTTCAAAACCAACTTTAGTTATCACTAAACCCGATAGGGAGGATTAGCTACGATTTGTCGTAGCTACAACTTAGCAGAAGCATTGCAAATGGTAGAAGTAAACCTTTGCAACTGCAGAGCTCTGGGTAGGGCGAAAGTTAGGTTTCTAGGCGCGCCTTTCTGCGGTAGTTTAAAATAACGTAAAAGTGTTAACGCTCAGTCGCTGAGGTCTAAAAGACACAGCTCTTTTGGCCCTTAAAGACAATTAAGCGACTTTTGATAAGACCCCTTATAAGGCAAAAAAGGAGTCCATCTTAAGCAAGGTTGTAGTGTCAATCACTATTCAATGAGATTTATATGTATATTGCTAGCGAGCTTACTACACAAAAATGACTCGAAAGCGAAAGGTTATCAATTAATCCCACTAAAACTATTATTGTACAATTTATCGGAAGGCAAAGTTATCTTTGATTTAACTCATCCTGCGCGGTACAAAACGCGATTTTTCAAAGTATGACGGAATATCCAGCATTGGGAATTTTAAGCACCTCTACGAAGTTTGCTAATGATTTTGCATATCCGCGACACAGTAGATCCAAAACAAGATGTCCCACTGAGTTGGATACTGGTCACAGAGAAGCTAGTCGGTTTAACTGTGCATCTGAAAAGATTCCTTAATTCAGGCAGAGGACATCCGACATCCGAATTCTAGCCGAGTTTTTCACAGAAACATTGCCCAATTCGCTATCAACATATTAAAGTGAATCTCGGCCTATGCTGATGCATCCTCCGTATAAATCATTTTTTTTTACATTAATAAGACATATGTACATACATATGCTTCAATAAAATAAACGCAGAAAACTTATTTAAGAAGAATGCCTTTATTTAAATGAAAAGGAATCTTTTTTGCTCAGCACAGCAAAAGAAAAGAAAAATAAAAATGCTTTCTCAAATATTGTATTCTACTTATTCGCTTTTCAGCTCTGCTAATCCCAAGGCACGTATCGGTGAACAGGCCACTTCCAACGACATCGAATTCCCAGCATTGAAGCTACAAATCGCGCTACCACTCTCCGTGGAACTACAAAGCTCAGCTATGCGCGGACTCTGGTTAGACTACGATCATTATAGTGATTACTGCGATAGCTTTAATGCAAAACGAGATTTGCCGGAATACATAAGTTGAGCCAAAAGATTATTCTCCCAGCTTTGTAACTTCAAAGACACCACTTCTCTTCATTTTCAGATATACTGCGCTATACCAAAAAAGAGTGGCGTAAACGCAAAGACATCTTACAGAATATGCTGGAGGACTGTAATAAGGACAGCCCACTGTCCGCTGCTGGTGTCGCTGAACACGATAGCTCCACCGGCGCTAAACGCGAACGCAGCTTTGATGTAGATAAAATCTATGCCGAATATGAAGATGAGCTTAACAAGGCACGTCGGCGTGCAATCGGACCTGAGGGCTATAACTTGACTGGTACTGACGTAAATTTGCGCAAATACCGCATTATCGGCGGGATGTATCGCATTGATTACTTGGAGACGCCGCAGCAGGATAAACGATTAAATGAACGTTCTTTTATACGAACCAGTGAGTGCGCTTAGTGAATATTTTATAACCTATCAAACATAAATATGAGTGCTAAATAAAATCGGTTTCCATGCATTTTCAGTTATTTCACCGAATCGCTTGAACCAAAAGATATTCTACCAAAGCTACAAACCACCGCCACCACCCCAACCGGGTGTACGTCGTTTGCCTGAGGAAATTGAAGCGGAGATGCGCATGGTTGAAGCGGCACTTGACAAATTGGCATTGGTCAGCTTGGAGTAAGTGTTTGTGTATTCAATCAAAGTAACACAAAGTCAAAAGCAAACATTAATTTTTATATATCTACACTTTCTTTATCTTCCTCTCTTTCCTGCCTCGTTCACCACACACACACACACACACACACACACACACACTTTCGCACAAAAAGGCTGCCCGACTCGGTGATTTGGTTTGAACCACCCATTGTTTGCCGCTGGGAGACCCACTTCGAAACGTTAGAATCAAATTTGACGGATGGTGCGAAACCACCACTTGGCAATGCCGCCAACGCGCCTGCCACCTCCACCGAAGCTACGCCACTCTCAACCACTACCAATACCAGTCCCTTAAGGGCTCACCACGTTTCCCCGCTAAGCTACGAAACGCAGCTCACAAAAGTCAACAATAGCATCTGATTTGCTGGTCACCGCGGCGGAAGCGGTGGGTGTTGTGCGTGAGGTCACAGACTTCGATCTATTCAACATACCGCGTGGCATTGACATCTATGGTTTGCTGCAAGATTTTGTCGTGCCACGTTTACCGCCTGGCTTCTGTCTGCGCTGGGAGAAATCAACACCAATGCTGAGTAGCAAAGTGATGGCCCGTCAACAACGCAAACAGAAAAAGAAACGACAACGAGAAGGCGTTGTTGGCCAACGATTTGTTTTGTTGGCACGACACAAAAGTGTCAACAGGCCAGACGAGAGTGACATCTGGTCGAATGCAACAGTGGCAGCTGGTGGTTGCAATGAGGGCAAATTTCAAGTGCGTCAGGAATATATAACGAATGACTATCTAGATTGGGATGAGCCGCGTGAACTCTTTCCAGCCGTCGAACCGAAAAAGTTGATTAAGTTTAAGACATTTGCAATGGGCAAGCAATCGCTGGCTCTGAGGTCGAAGAGTGAAGAGGATAAGCGAAAGCAAGCAATAAATGGTGGAGATCAAGATAAACACCAAAAGAATGGAAATGGAAAGAATGGTGTTGAAACAAAGCGTGTGAGCATAAATGGTGTTTGCGCACGAAATGGTACAGTAAATCTTACTGGCAACGGATGTGGTAATACGAATCGTAATGGGAAGGGGAATGGTCATGGTAATGGTAATGGTAATGGACATGGTCAGAATGTGCAAAAAAATTTAAATGGACAGATAGATGACAAAGCTGGTGCATTGAGTGTGAGCAACACCAGACGCAGCTCCAAACAAGTAGGTGAGGCGAAGGAGTCTAAAGTAGGAGCGGTGCTGGAGACGAAGACATATATGTTCTCCAAATTACTTGAAGTGAGTAACTGTACTACGTATATGAATATAAATGTCATTGGCCAATAGAAAAGGTTTAATTAACTCCTCTAGAGCCAGGCAGCTAACGCACAGTGGTGTCAAATTGAAAGTTACTGTTCAAAATAGTGCAGAGAATATTCTTGTAATTTTGTAAATATGATTTTTGAATTTTTATTAAAAAAATATATTAAAAACTTAGTGTATTTAGTATTTAGTGCAAAGTTCAGGGAAATTAGAAAATTTCCTGGTAATGGTAATAAAAATTAGCTAAAAGCAATTATAGGGTTCCGCCAAAACGAAAAAAATGCAAAGGAAAAATTTTAAATGATATAAAAGTAAACAACAAACCAAAACTGCATTTCTTAATTTATTTTTACATAGTACGCTGGACAAGACTTTACACATCTACTCCGTCATCCTGGACTAAGAGTCGTGTTCATATTTGCCATTTGTTTCACTGCTGTTAGCGTTCAACTGGATGGAGTAGTATTCCCTCTAAAATTTAAACACGCGTAGGGTTGCGTGAGTCAAAACCCAAATCAAAAAATTAAATGATAAACATTTATTATTTGTTGGACGAATTAACTCACGAATAAAATTTATTTGTGCGCATATTGCGCACTTTCTTCAAAGTGTACTAATTCAATATTTACCTTATCAATTTTACTGAATACAATTTTTTAATCAGGTGGCAATCCCACATACAAATATTTTCGGCAGTAAACTTTCCTAAACCTCTTAAGTTAGATACTCATATTGCAATATTTACTCTATCTTATCAATGTACTTAAACTTTAATTTTCAAATAGATGGCAACTCTCTAATTTTTCTTTATTCTTTATTTTAAGCAATGCATTGGTGAAAACTGCATTCGCTTGCAAAACCATTTTATTTCATATCGAAGAGTAGCTTATGTCGAAAGCGCTACGATAAATTCGCATGGAGTGTTCAAAAAGTACACTCTGCGGCGCACAGTGGTACATCCCCATAATTTTTTGGGAAAAATCAGAAGAAATCGGCGTAAACCTAAATTTTCCGTATGTAATATGCACTTAAATCAAGAAAAAAAAAAAACGATAAAAGCATACCTCCCATACGAACCTAACCTCAAAAGTGCTTTAAGAAGGCCGCAAAAAGCGGACTGATGAACATATCATTCCGAAATTTTGTCCACATGTTAGTAATAATATTATAACTAAACACCCAAAAACTGGGAGTAATCAGTTTATTTTAACAAATACCTGACTTGCAAACTTAACACCTAAAACCCCTTAAAAATATCATAATAATAGATAGGCAACATTCCGGTCTTTCATTTTTTTATAGTAGGAAAGCGAAGGAAGCCGAAGGAAACAGTAAGTGCTATTTTTTCATACGAACCTACAACAAAAACAATAAAAACAAAAGTTTTAAGAAGAACACATTGCTTAAGTAAACAAAATGTTAGGAAATTTTTCTTAGGCAAATATCACTTTGTAGTATATACCATTCAAATATAAAAATTTAGTATTCAAAAAATTTTATTTTGTACACCGACATACCACTGTGCGGCGTGGGCTAAAGATGAGCGAAATGTTAAATCATCTAAATTTGGTCTAAATTTGATTTGACAACATTACTCTTTCATTGCATTTCTGTTATGGTGGTGATGTCAGTTTTAGTCTTCCTGCAGACATTAACCAGCCCGGCAAAGGCATCATCCCCAACAAGACTCTATTTGTTTCACTTTTATGGCCTTAATTATAGGCGTTTAAACATTTTTTCGAATAGTGTTCTCATGTAAGCAAAATGTTAAAAACTTGTAATAGTTTAAAAACTTTTTAAGCGGTAGCAGAAATCCTGTTCAAACGTCTTTAGTTACTTTGCTTGCGCCCTTCTTAAATACTTAGTTTAATTTGGGAAACTGTTGAGATATCGGCGTTAATCGCCAGCAAGACACAAGCGACATTTTTTCAGACTATTTTACGTACAGAAGTTGATTATCCTAATTTCTTCAAGATTCGCTATTAAGGTACTTATGACTATATGTCTTAAGTTCTGCAACAGCTTTTCCAGAGATATTACCTGAAGCTATTAATAACGTCTTTCCCAAAAATTTCTGTTCATACCATAAGTAGAAATTTTTACGCCATCTTAAGGCACACAAAAGCTTGGAAAAAGCAATAAAGTGCCAGTGCTCTTTTATGTGAAAATTTGTGCAAAATATTTTATTTGAAGGAGACTAGATAAAGCAAAATTACTTCACACACAAATGCCAGGATATTAACCAAAACAGCCTCTGCCTGGTTGTCCAATCAGCCACACAGAAAATAACGTAATAAATTTTGATCCTATTTTTTATCGCGCACATTTTATTCACAGCCCATTTTGAATGCGTATTTTCTATTCTTTTTCGGTTCACGTGTCATCTTATATACCAAAGGATTTGGATCGTCTTGCTGAACTACTGCTGCCACTGCAAACGGATGCGCTCAAAAAAATTTCCGCCAATCTCACCTCGCCACCCGCAGCAGCACGTGATGTTGGGGCAACTAACGCCAACGACACAGCAGCTGCTAATGGCGAAGAGACAGGCAGGCAAGCGGAAACACTGCAGCCCGCATTCACCTACTATCCGGGCTTTTCGTTTCTACGTGATTTGGATGCGAAAAATGGTGTAGATAATAAAGGCGCAACTGTCGAGCCGGAAGTAGAAGACGAAGAAAGCAGCACAGACGAATACGATGATGATGATGACGCGTATGATGGCGATGGTTGGGATGATGAAGCGCTCTTAGAAGACTATCAGGCAAGTGTACGTAACGGCGAAGCGCTAGCAGCAAACTTGAACTCACTGCTCAGTGGTGGTGGTGGTGGCGGTGTTGGTGGTGGTGGTGCAGGCGGTGGTGAACAGAAGACATTGGAGGGTGTCAGTGGTGGAGGTGTTCAATCGACTATTGCTGCGGCGTCAGGCGGTCTACAACAGCTGCTCGACAAACACAATCAAAGTGAGAGCGGCGGCAGCAGCGATGGGTGAGTTTTTAGGAAATAGCGCATAGAATCTATGTAGGTACACGTATGCGTATGTATGTACGAATGTACAAAGATAAAATCTGTTGTCTTTTCTTCGATTTGCTGGCAGAATCAAGCAGGAGGAGGGAATTTATGAAGACATTACTTATTTATGTATTGTAGCACAAATTGTGCTCAAGAAAAACTTAATTAGATTTTTTAACATCTTTTTACTTATTATTTTTGTTAAGAGGGAAATTTCATTGTATCAGCTAACGATGTATTTAATGCATTATGAAAAATATTGAATATTTAGCAGATAACGATATATCAAAAATATAAAAAAAAGTTCTGAAAAAAATCCCAAATAAAACACGTGAAAAATCCTGGTCGTTTCCGAAAAAACGGCTAATGGAATTCAGAAACAGAGGCGGGAGTATGTATTTAGCTTTTCAAAAGCCACTTGAAGAGAACTCAATTTTATCCCAGTGCTCGTTAAATATGCTTGTACAGGTGCTCTTAAGAGCTCATTTTCGATAAGATTTTTTAACCACAATTTTTAAAGACCAATCAGTCTCTCTTCGTATCAGTTTGAAACCCTAGTGAGACTGATTGATCTGCATATTATAATTTCTTATCAGAAAATGGGCATACGTGCTTAGGGTAAGTTGGGCGCAACTGCCCTGCAAACGATTGTGAATTCGATAGGAGAAGCCTTCAAACATAAAGACTTCACAGAACCCACTGTAACATTGGGGGCTTTTTACAACGACCTTCGGTAAGAGTAGAGCAGTGCCAGTAGCCAGAGTTGGGTAAACAGGGATACAGCACGCTCTACATAGATAGTATTCCGTCATTCCATCCTTCGACTGTGGTTTTAACGACCTGAAATAGGAGCTGGGGAGTAGAGGATGCCGAATGATTTCCTAGTTTGATAATTTTGTAATTTAAATTAGAGCGAGTTTGTTGATACCTTCCACAATGTGAACATATCGACGGCTAAGCGAAAGATCTACCTATCTCGGCGACCTATCTCGTGTGCCCTTTGAGGGATACAGGTTCGAGTGCTCGGGGCAGAGTTTTTATTCGTTTTTCTATTTCATTTTTTTCTTCTTAAAGTATTTTTTATTTTTTCACTGTCCTAAATAGAAAAATATATATATAATTTCACTTGATCTTTGGAAACTTATTTTTTCAGTTTTATGTTTATATTTTATTGTTTTAAACAGAAAAAAAACCTGTTTTTAACTTCATTTAATTTTTAGGAGTCTTTTTTTCTTTTATTGACTTTGTTTTATTTTTAGTTTAAACTTATTTCTTTATTTAGATATTGTTTTAGAAATCTAAATATTTTTTTTTAATTTCATGGTATTTTCAGGAACTTACTTTATAATTTTTCTTTAATTTATTTCCGTTTTATTTTTAGAATTTGTATTAAAATAATTTCATTTCGTTTATATAATTTTAAGTACTTATTTTCTTTTTTCCTTTCATTGTTTTCTTAATTTATTTTCACTTTCACTTTCACTTTTTTAAGTATCCGATTTTATTGTTTTAAAAAGAATGTTTTTTATTTAATTTTCTTTTATTTTAGATTTTAGTACCGTAGTTACAATTTTCTTCTTTAGATTTTTGATATATTTTTTTATACTTTTGCGTTTTTAATTTGTTTTTTTGTCTACTAATTTTCTGATTTTTTTGCTTTAAAAAGAATTTTTTAAATTAAATTCTCTTTTATTGTAGATTTTATTGTCTTAAGAAGAATTTTTTCTTTAAATTTTTTAAATATTTTTATTTTATATTATCCAACCCGAACCTATTCTGGAAATTGAATAAATCGAGTCGGAAGCTTACCGAAGTTTACCTGGTATGCCTGGTATTTTCTTGAGCAGAAATAAATTAAATTCCGAAAGACCCAAAAATTTAAAAAATGAATAAAAAGAAAAACAGGAAAACCCAAGAATCTCGAAAAAACCAGATATTCACTAAAAAATACCCTAAAAATTCCGAAAAATCCCAAAGGATACAGTACGCAATATTTCTAGAACTTCCGAAAAAATCGATAAACCTTAAGAAAATATCCAAAAACACCCGATAGCACTCGAAAAACTAAAAAAAAAATAAAATCTGGTCAAATCCAAACAATATGTAAAATCTTTGTTTGCGATGCTTTGCTACTGGCATTTGTCATTTGCCTATTGACTGTGCTGCACATACATATGTACACACTCGTGCATACATACAGGAGCTATGAAAAGTCAAAGCAAATAAAACCCAAAAAAATAAAAATCAAGAAGGCAAACAAACCAAGCAATGAGAGATAGGGGTGAATGGAACTGAATGGAAGTGCAACAATTCAAATGCTCAGCTTCTTTGTGCAGTAATGGCATTGGCAAACATTTACCGATTGGCGTCAATTGCTTTTTAGCCGCTGTAAGTGCCAGCCTCCAGCTTTACAACGCTACACTTGGCTGTCGCTTTTCATGTTTGTTGTTCGTGGGTCCTTTCGTCACTTCTGATTTCAAGTGACTGAGATTTGAACGGTTGATTGAGATTTTTTTTGTGCAGAATTTTCGATGGCAATGCTCTGTATGTAGGTATATATGTATGTACGATTACATTACGTGTAATCAATAAATGTAAACCTACAGGCGTTTGAGTTTCGCCCACAATCGTTAACACATTGGGAGCACGTTTTGATGCTGAAAATAAAATTCGTTACTGTCATTTAATAGCGCTTCAATTAAACGGCATTTGATGAGCAATTTGAAACGTCGCGTCAAACGTTGAGAAAGTTTAATCAAGAGTGAAAGTATTGCGAATGAGTGATGCATGTATGTATGTTAGAAAATTGTTAGAATGATTTATTGAATTATGTTTGATGGAGGTGAAATTATATTTTATTCTTAGGCTATTACTTAGGGCTGTAAACTTAACTATTTTAAAGTTATTTAGGAACCCAGTGGGAAAATGTAATGTATAGTAATCGAAAAAATAATCAGCTAAAACAAACCCTTTTCACATTGGAAAATGCATTTTTTTCCTACGAAAAGTGGGGCATTCAATTTTGCATTACCTATTATCGATAAATGAATGTATTTTAATATGAAATTTTTGGAACTTTTTGAATACATTATAATGCTGTTTACATAGTTAGCAGTAATAAATACTATCGAGAACTCATAAGAAATACATTATATTATATATCATCCCTGGGTGTCCACCAGGACCACTTTGGGAATTACTGGGTTAGATCAAGGCGGTTGACAGGCAAGCGAAACTACGAACTCTAACTTCCAAGCTATAGCGAAAAAGGCAGCATGCCAAGAATGTAGTATCGCTGGCGGCAGAGATCGGTCGCGCGGCTGGTTAAAAAATATGATCTCCGATGTTTAGGCAGCAGTCATATAAAAGCTATGCTGCTTAAGAGGAAACGTTGGGAGGATTTCACTTTTCGTCCTCTGCGCAGCTATGACAGTAAGCCACCGGTGTCGCATTAAGTCGCACCGCGTAAGCATAAGTAGCAGCATCACATATGCAGATTTTCATTCATTTAAGTTTGATGGAGAGTTCGCTGTTAAAAGCCTCTCAGTCGCTCCTTTCATACAACTTTCGGAAACTATTTAAAACCTCCAGCTCAGAAACGAGCCGAGCACCTAATACCTATAATGGACCTGAGCAAGAAATCTCCTTAGAAAATATTCCAAGTTCCTTACCAATTGGTGTTGATATCTACTTCACTCTCACGTCAATGATAGGCTTCCACTGCAATTTCATATCCTCTTAGTCACGGTCAGATCATAAAGACAATCCAAAAATGCACCACCGGGAGCTCTCCCTCTAGAGCTTCACTTGCAGTTCGTTTGGCACCACAATCGAAAGAAGGCTGAGAGAATGCCACCCCCTATAGCGTTCCCCTTTTTACCCGACGCTCTCTGGTGGCTCTGTCCCATTCCGACCTGACATTTCTGATGCAAAGCATGCGGTATGTACTCGTAAGCTAAAACGGTCGGTTTCAACCCCAAGCTTAGCTGGGGCGCTTATCTAACCGGTCACACAAAACGATCTCACCATCTTCTATTTCGAAATCGGTTATTTTTCCCTATGATGGATAGCATGAGAAATAGGTATCGAGAAGAGAATCAATCGACTACTCACTACTCATATGGAGCTTAAACGTATTCTTTTTTTACTGCTTGCTTAAAGCCATTTATTTGTAGCTTCAGTTAAGGAATTATTCATTTAACCCAGTGCAGCGATTGCACGAAGCCCGACAGCATAAAATCAAATTTATTTAATTGAATTACACTCTAAAAAAAGTGTGTAGATTTCCTACCTAAAAGGTAGGTTACTGATTTCCTACCTTATTATTCGCGAAATTATATGCTCGATTATTAAACGAATAGTTTGTTTAAATTTCGGCCTTTTAAAAGTGTAATATAGCTGCTGTGGTGTGCATAAATTTACTACGAAGGTGTGTACAAGCTACAAAATACACATCTGCTGTTTGATTTCACCCGTAGAATTGTGTAAAGGCGCTAACAAAAAGGATTTTTACACACGAAAATGTGTAAACGAGAAAAATACATATTCATCGTGTAAATTTACCAAACAATTTTAAAAATAAACAAAAATATACTCGATTTATAGTCGCATTTTTAAACAGATTTTTTAGAGTGTAGTTAACTTTAACACCACCAGTATTAATACATTTTCTTTTTTGTTGTGGTTTTCCCCAAATATTTTTCAGTAAAAAATATAAAGATTCGAATATGATTGCACTGACCCAGGCCAAATGGAGTACACGCGATGTTCATGATACCAAATTTAATGAGGAAAAGCTGTCGCTACAATTTCGCACAGGACGTTTGGGTGAGTGCGCAAATATTGATGATACGTACATACATATGTAAGTGTGTGTGTGTGTGTGTTTGCTTGCGCTTTAATTCCGTATTTCTCTTTGTTTATCTGTTGTGCATGGCCTTTTCTGGCAAAACAAAATGCGTCTAATCAACCGCAAAATCAATGAACGCAAATGAACGCTGATGGACAATGCTAACAACGCACATGTGTGTGTATCGTCGCGGTATCGTGTTGTGTGTGTTGGTCGTGATGTGCTAACCACATGTGGCGGTCATGGTCGTTCTCTTTATTCTGCATATTTCATTTGAAGGCATATTTGGGTTGGCTCTAAATCGCTACAGCAATATGCCGTATCAGACTTGGGAAATCAGGCCGGATTTCAAAAGGTATGTACATATGTATGTATGTGTGTATTTGTGAGAAAAATGGAAATGAGTGTATGCAATGTTGTGTTGTTCAAAGCCTACATTTGCATTTGTGATCAATGCATAGGCAACCTGCTGCGAAATCCAATCGATTTCAGCTTAAGCGGTTGCTTTGAATTTTAAGCAATGAATAGTAAATATTTCTGCTATTTTCTATGGAAGTTTTACTAGGCCTGATTGGTAGACATTTTAACCGCTTTTATCTTCTTGAAACATATAACAAACAGTTCTACTGCCTACATGCGTCGGATTCTCTTATATAGAGCACAATTTTAGTGCTTTTACGTACCATTCAAGCTCTAACTAAAACTCTAAACTCTAAAAGAAAACTTACTACATAAATTTAGGAAAATGAAAAACGTCTTTTAATCTCTATAGGAAGCAAAAATTCGCATGACGAAGATAAAAATAAATTAGTTGTGTACCAAAGTTTAATTTGCGCTTTAAAGTTTCCCTAGGAGGAATTAGCTTTGTGGTTCGCACACACCTCCTCTAATTCAATTAAAAGCAAATAAAGCGGACAAATCCCAACGCAACCGCAATTGGAAAATTTTATTCGCAAGCCAATGTTGCAGAAACAATGCAACGGGTGTGCACCGAACAATAATAACATAGCGAAATTAAATGCTTACAAATTCAATTACATATGAGCAAATTTCACGAGTTGCTATATTTTTTTCTACAATACGTATTTTTGGTCGAAAATGGTGGCACACTAACCTTAGACAGTTTTGCATAAAGAGCAAGATTTTATTGCGAAATTGTATTTAAACGAAAACAAAATAAAATAAAATAAAAAAGTCAAAACAACAGGTCTATACTGCGCTAGTAATACAAATTTTGTAGCCAATAAATTGAATTACTGTCAATTTTTAAACCCTTTTCGCATTTCGAGTAAATATTCTTGTAGCCGGCAAATTTTTTCCCCTCCTACGCCCCCTCCTTTAAACCCGTTCTGTTTATTTATTTTTCAGAAACATTCTCTCTCCCTATCTCTCTTCTCTTGCAGTCCTGGCACGATCTTCTTCTCCTTTACTGCCTCTATTGTCAGCCTGGATATGAACATCACTTCCACCGGTTATTGTGTGAATAATTTTCAAGGAGGCAGCACACCAGCCATCAGCGAGATGCTCGGCAAGACCTTATCCCTCGCCGAACTGAAATCAACTCTCATTGCCGCTGCCGTTGATATATTTCCTGAACCCGACACTTTCTGCTACACTGAAGGCACTTGCGAGAAGAATTTCGTCATGGAAATGCACTTGTATGCGTGCATCTCGACATTGGTGCAGTCCCATAACTTCAGTTGGTCCCGGTGGAATCTCTTAGCGGGCAGCCGTACGATTGTGTTGCTTATGCGCGAATTGATCGAGGGCAAGAAAGTGGTAAGTAAAGCGAAATGTGTGTTCGTTATTATTCTTTACAATACTTTAATATTTTTTACCTTTGTTTTATTTTTTTTATATGGTCCCTAGCCCTACCACTCCACCTTGCTGGTGACGCCTTTGAAGACTGCCATAATCGACTGTACCGAAGTTTCGCCAAGTTTCAATTCAGCTGGCATCGCTGGTATGGACTACTACGCCGATCTTTATCAACTTTCACAAGTGTATGCGCAACCCAGCAGTCTGGAAAAACAACGGAATATGGATCCGATGTTGCGCGAAAATGTGGCACGTATTTTGATGGCCATAAGACCATTAAGTTTTTGTTAAAAAAAGAGTATTTAACTACTTAAATATATGCATATCTAAAATTTTTCTATACATATATTTTATATATGACCGCATATAGTGAAGATATTTTCAAAATAAAGCAGCAGAAATGAAATGTAGCATTCTGAGGGGATGCACAAAAGAAATTGTTTCTCCATCGCGAGATAAAGTGTTGCAATTATGCGTACACTTTTTCGATTTTTTTTTTTTTCGTTATTTTCTTTCGAAATCCTTCTACCAAGTCGTCTACAAGAATTTTTCAGTTATATTAGCACAGCTCATGGTACTTTACGAGGCATGAATTGAGAGATATCGTAGAAATTGCATCTGGAGGATAGGGTTCATAAATTTTCCAATGCTCTTTAGGAATACAAAGAATTTATCCAAAATGAATCTATACGAGTTTATCCCCATTAAGCTTTGTACGGCACTGAGTACGTAATTATTTATATTAAGTTGTGGCACACAAAAATGAGTTTGGAAAGTATGCAAAGGCATAAAAATCTGCGCTAAATTCAAGCCTGACAGAGAGCTAACACAGCGGCTTGTCCACAGTTATGAACATCTTTGCTTTGTCTAATTTCAATTATGAACCAAAAAATCTTTATATAAAAGGAGTAATGAAGGAAGAGACTAGAGCTCAAATGCCGCAGTTAAAGTTTTTTCTCAGACGATTGTGCATTCTGCTCAAATCTTAAATTGGTGCCAGAATACGCCAATATGTATTTTAAGCTAAGCCCTTTGCCGCAAGAAGAGTAGTAGAGACAGTACCTTACTCAAACAGCGTAGGGCTGCCTGGTAACATCTTCATTGGCAGCTACTCTGCTGTTAAAAGCTTAGGTAGTCTAGACTTAATTTGATTTAGCTTGCCACAAGAAATCATCAATGATTACTCAACAAGTCAACTTAAGCCAGAAGTGGACATTTTTTTTTTCGTTGTGAGTTCTTTAACAGTTTGCTGCCTAAAATGCCACATCAAAAAGACTCATGCAAAAAAAATAAATTTGCCTGATTTTCTCACGGCTCACAATTTCCATAAGGCCGTAACTTGAATATCTAAAACCTACAGGTTCTTAAGTTGCTTAGTTTAAGTTAAGTTCTAACTAACCGCCAACACAGTTTCTCATATAACAGGTTGGCCAAAATCTTAAGTTAGGTTAAGTTACGGAAATTAATTCTAGACTAACTGAGGTTTAAGGCAGTGCTTACGGTGACGACAAGCGCCCTCATTGTGTTCAGTAGGGTAATTATTTGCTGGGTACCAGGACGTTTTATTTTATTTATTTTATTTAACTAAGAAATTTGGTTGTATTTCTAAGACTATTCAGTCTTTTATAATAAATCGGCGCGCATTAATTTACAAAATTAGAATCTTAACCCTAACATGAAACCAATAAGAGATAACAATAAATTTAAATTTAAGTACAAAAAATTATTCTTCAGTTTAATATTAAAACTTAACATCAAATAATAGTAGTTATCACTCCTATAAAGAAACTTAACAATTAAGTATAAAAGAGAAAGAAAGAAATAAGGATAGAGGAGAGAAAAGCTGAGTTGCAATCACATTTATCTCATAGAATTAAAGTATTCATTTATTATCCTCCCGTAGTTGCCCCTATCCATCGCAGACCTAACACTATCAGGAACAGAATTCCAAAACTTCACCGCCTTGACGAAAAACAGCCTCGAGGAAGACAAATAGGAATATTTAGGGATTATNTAGAGGAGAGAAAAGCTGAGTTGCAATCACATTTATCTCATAGAATTAAAGTATTCATTTATTATCCTCCCGTAGTTGCCCCTATCCATCGCAGACCTAACACTATCAGGAACAGAATTCCAAAACTTCACCGCCTTGACGAAAAACAGCCTCGAGGAAGACAAATAGGAATATTTAGGGATTATAAGATTTTTGTGTCTGCAAGACTTTGTTAATTTTAACTTTTCGTAAAGGTATTTCGGTGTTTTGAATTCAATAAGTTTGTACATATACATATACACAGTTTCTTGCTGCGAGATATTCAAAGATGCTGCATCCAAGAATTTTGTTTCTCCAGAAGGAGTTATGGTCATATTTTTTGAGGCCAAAAACATAACGCGTTGGAGATAGAGCGCATTGAGAAATCTGGATATTTGGTTTATGTTTATGAGACCCTGACGTCGGTAAACAGGAGCTAAACACAGCCGTTATATGTATATGGGGACAAGGTCTTATTGAAAAATGTAATACGATGTGGTGTAATGCCTATACTGGCAACACGGTGGAAAATACATACTACTAACTATTTCCTTACAATTCCAAGGGCAGAATGTAAGATATTAGTAGGAGTTCCTGTGGAGCATTGACCTACTGTTGAATGACTTATGGCGGTAATAATACTAAAGCAAAGCAACTTGAAAAGTTTGCATTCTCCATGTCCATTACTCGGTATATTACCAGACGAGTTTGGTAAGTTTTTGAAAGCGGACATGGACAGCTCAGGGGTGGCGGACGGGCAGTTTCTTGCCCTCCCATCTTGGCAACACAATTAACGCCCCCTTTAATTTTGGAAGTTGGTTTTGGTCAACCAAGTTTTCCTTAACTTGGCATAGATTTTCAAAAAGTCCTTGCAAACTAATTACAAAATAAACTGAGTGAAACATTTAGTCATAGATGTATAACAAATTACACCCCACTGAAGTCTTAGGTGTTCCTGTTCTCCAATGCCAGCTGGCAAGCCACTTCAACCATCTCATCTTTAGCTCTCAAAAGCTTGCCGCCTTCTGCATTACTCGCGAATTTAGTTCGCATTGCACCTGTCTATGGAGCTTAACCTATCCAACCGATGAATGTGGTGTTGTTGGTATTACTGTGATGCTTAGAGCTGTCAATGATGTCGACTAGTTTAATAGATGCGACTTAATACTCGTAGTTAACGAGTGTGTGTGTGTACGAAAGGCGCGCACACGCCATGAATGCATAATTAATTTCACATAAAGCAGTTTATTTGTTGTTGCTGCCACTATTACTGCTGCAGTTGGAGGCTGCTACCGAAATTTCAGCCTAAAACATATAACATTGCCTAACAACGGCATGAAATTTTGGTGTAGGTCAAGTGAGCTACATTTTGCGGTTTTTTTTTAGACAAAAGCGAATTAATTCTCTATTTTGAGCCTCTCATCATTATGTACAAGTAAGTGCCATCATGTTTAAATAGTAATATTAGTGAAAAGCTTGGCTCAATTAGAAGTAGCCACAGTAGCTGGGTGGGCCTTTGCTATGTTATATATCATCGATGCCTTTGCAAACCTGCCTAAATCATCATGCATGCAAATCGTAAAATCCGGATTCCAACAACAACTAATTTGTAGAATGACAGTTAGATGTAATACCAGCTATCAAGTCAACGGCCTTACAGAAAATACGTTTTTTCGCTCTTCTATTAAATTTAACTGACTTAAGATAGGCGGTTTGGCAACTAGATATCGAGCCCTAACCGCCAAAATAACGTAAGCGACATTTTTTTCAAAATTTTATTTTTGATGCAGAAATGCGTCTAGATGCTCTAGGAATATTTCTGCATCAAAAAGAAAATTTTGAAAAAAATGTCGCTTACGTTATTTTGGCGGTTAGGACTCGATATGTTAAATGTTATGCTAAGTAGTTGCTGTAAGTTTATAAGATCAAGATCAATTTTACAGGCATGTGACTTAAAAAAATACACTTACGAATGATGTATTATAGAACGATTTTCCGGCATACTCCTACCCTGTCGGAAGCAAAAACAACAACAAAATATATATATAAGAATATTTACTTTCCATTAGCGAGCGCCTTTTTGTTACTAAAAATCTGCTGGTAATGACCAAATCCGGCATGTTACTTTAAAGTGCTCAAATTTACAACACAGTCACGGCCTGCCAAGCCTGCCAAGGTTGCGCAAGCCCAACTATTTTTACTACTCCCACTAATCTTGTTGGCAGTTAAATAAGTTGCCACCTCTCCATAACGTTTGACTTTCTCCGTGGCATTTTTGCTCATGTCGACGTTAATGTTAACGACATCTCCCTAATGTTTGACTTTCCGTCTCGGCTTCATGGTGAATTCGCTACGATATTTGTTGTTGTTGTTTCAGTCTTAGGCTGTCATTCTAGATGACATTTGCGTGAATGGAATGCTGAAGCGTATGTTAGCGCGTGTCTTCGCATTTAAAATTACGTTAATTATATTTTAAATGAAACGCTCTTTATGCAAGCCTTCACACCCGCGTATGCGCCTCAGCTAGTTTCGCTTAATGACAGACCCATTTTTACTTCACACTTCTCTTTGCTTCTCGCCTTCCTCATTTTACTTGCGAAGGGATGTCACTTAGGGCCACTTGTCTTGTTACTTAAATGAATAGGAATTTCTAATTGCAAAGAAATGAAAGTAGTCAAGGTGTCTACTAACTCAAGTGCGTAGAATTGCATCGAAAAATATGTTAAATAGGAAACACAAGTTTTCAAGTGCAAAAACGCTTTGAGCTACTGGCCTCATTACCTTTTAAAGTATATAGACCTCTTTAAATTTCGTAATTTAAATTGTTTTTCTAAAGGTTCCAGTTGTTGGCAATATTGGTGAGAAAAACTACTTAAATTTTTTCATTTACCTAACATATCAACATAACATAACATATCAAGGTGAAACTATAAAGTTACTCATTGTGGCGATTCACAAGAAACATTCCCAATAAAATAGCAACTAAGTAAGAATGATAACAATTAAATTCCTTCCTTTGGCGCATCCCGCAGACTTATGGCCATTTCATCGCGATCAGATTTGTTTTATTGTGCCCCTATTTCAACTTTAGTTGATTAAGTTTAAAAATCTGGCCCAGCGATAAACTAGGGCTCTGGAGGTGGTGATAAGGTATTCTATGTATTCCTCCTCTTCACCACAGATTGAGCTCTTTTGTCACTGAACCCAAGTGATGATATCCCTCTAACTTGTGCCAATGGCTAGCAGTGCAGGATTTTGA